AGAGAGTGTGATGGGGGTGAAATCAGCTGGTTGTCACCCTTACACCATAACAATGCATACATTATCCATTGGGATATCAGGGATACCCACCATAAATATATGAGCATGATGATCAGGGGTCCTAGTTTTCTGTGATATCCTCCCCCCAAATTCTCCAATAAAAATATAAAAATCCATGTTTTTCCACGATTAAAATGAAATCTGACATCTGGAGCCCCGCCACCTGGGGCTAACAGCTGGAGAAGCCCCACTGTCTGGGACCCTGGAGCCATCAGTCCAAGCCCTGCCGCCTGGGTCAATTTCCCATATTCCTGTGTGTGCGCTGGTGGCAAGGGGTTCTACTGTATGTGTTTTTATTTTTTCACAAAATATTAAAACTAAAGATTCTCTGTAAAAATGCAAATCCCAGGTTTTTCTGGGGCAAATTGTTTTCTAGGATCCCTGATGATGAACCCCAAAGCAAAAGAATGCCTGGGGCAGCTGTGAGATATATGGCACCCCATGAGATGGCTCTCTCAATATTTCCAGCCCACTTCTGCAAACTCAAGAGGTTTTGAATAGTTTGGGTGAGATCTGAATAAGGGGATCTTACCCAAATCAAACCCCACAAATGATCTGAAAGTCCCCTGTGATTGAATCTTACCATCAATCCTTTCCTAACACTGGGAGAGATTAATTCCACCTGTCTGATAGGGGGAGAATGACTTATTTGGCTGATAGTATTAGTGTGGGTTTCCCCCTCTTTCACTGGTGGGCATAAGCTAGAAAAGCTGATGATATTCCATCTAAAACTGCTTCTATTATGGGAGAATATTAATTCCAGGCTCATCTCACTGGAGTTAAAAAACAATTTAATATTTTGTCTTAATTATTATTATTATTGCTTTTAGAATATTTAGTCAAAAATGAAAAAGTCAGAGCCTTTGGGGGCGTTTCAATTTTTCTTAGCTGTCAGACAGTAAAATTAGTCCCAGAGGAAAGAGCTGAAAGAATTTTGAAGCAGAAATAAATACCAAAACTCTGTTGTCTTTTTGCTTTTTCTGATGCTTGAGAATCTATAAACAACATTCCTCTCCATGGAAATCTGTTTGTTACTACAAATTACTGGAACATGTTCCCACCTTTAGTTATCTCATTACACTCCACAATTGCATTTTTTTTTAAAAAAAAAGAATTCATATAAGCTCTTTGCAGTGTTCCGGAACGGCTTTAATAATTTAGATGCATAGACAGGTTCCTATTAAATAAACCACTAAATAATTGGGAATTGATCAGGGAGCAGTTGAGCTTGAAGATAAAATTATGTCATATTTGAGGCTGGTAATGGGCTGTACCTCCCACAGCACTTGCCAGTTAATTTTGACAACCAGAAAAAAAAGCCACGCAAATTATTTCTTCATGCCCCTTGACATTGTTTAAAACACTCAAATTCTATCCATAGTGGTCTGCAACAATGGTGCAAGACATACAGTTGTGGCTTTTTTATGTAACCTTCACAGAGGCGGATGTAGGTGTCCATGAATTTGTTGATCTAATCACCACCCACAGAAGGACTCAAAATTCTACTTTTTAATGCAAAACCGGTCAGACCAAGAAGCTTGTTGGCTCCTGATTGTGGAGTAACATGCACCTCCAACTTCAATATCCTGTGAAGAAATCCATCAGTGAGAAATCATAAGACAGTCTGAGGGAGGCATGGTCATGTGCTAACTGCATGCATGCAGATATAGACAGGAGATATATATAAAGTAGGACATTTAGCTGTGTAGGCAAAGTCCATCAATATTCAGGGCCTTCAAGGCTACGATCAATTAGAGAGCTTGAAACATAGACCTCAGAGTCTGCAGAGCCAGCCAAAGCCCTTATTTTCCAATGTTTTCTGGTATTTTCTGAGCCTTCTGGATGATTGAGGTTGTGCAGTATTGTACATATACTTTACATACATTGAAGTATGTTGGGGGATGAATGGCTGAATACAATGAAGAATGAATGAAAATACCATGCAAAGTATTTGACTTCTAGCTTCAAATTCTGTTCTACATGCATTCTTTTATCACCCTCATCAACATAGCATCTGATAGTTTTCCAGTAGTGCATAAGTGACACAACTAACATCTGTCACGCATGGTTCATGAGAGCAGCGTAGTGTTATGGTAGGCTGTCTTTTTTTCTTTGTATGTCCATGGTGCTCCATGTCTACATGAGAGAAGGCAGGTCAGAGAAATATGCCTTGCCTTGTGAGTGGCATTGTGACGTTTGTGACGGTCCTTGGTTCCTCTGGGAGTTTGTTCCATAGGCTCGGACAAGCCTCCAAGAAAGCTCTGTTTCCTGCACAGATGTGGAAGAAAGTTCCATTGTGCTCCAGAACTCAAGGTGCTTTAGGCTGCAGCTGACGTTCTACAGGAAAAGTGCTTTCACTGCCCCTGTAGCTAATTATGGAGGTGCCATTTGCAGCCCCATAGTTAAGGTTACGTTTTGTGCAATGCAGAGGGAGTCAACCTGTAGTTATATATGAAAAAACACAGCTTATCCTCCCCAAAATTACAGCACTTACTCTTTAATAGCTCTCCTTATATACAGCTGTTATTCCAGCACCTGTCACCAGCACTAAACATGAATAGAGCTGGGTGCAACGTTTCAATTTTCAAAACCATTTCAAGACATGTTTACTGTTTTTTCAATCAGCCTGAGAAAACAATGATTAAAAAGTGCCACCTACACTTACTTTCCAAGGGAGCAAAACGAGACAGGTCACCAGCAGTTGTTGGTTCATGGTTCCCAAGCCCTTTCATATTTCTGCATCACATACAGATGATTTCCAGGCTTAAGGAAATGTTACTGGTCCAGTGGGAACTTGTGGTTCACACCTGAGCCGATTAGTTCTCAGTTCACTCACTGTCTACAGCTGTTTGTGCTTGCAATCAGTGAAAAGTCTAAACACTCTTGAGCCTTACCACTGTTACCACTATTTACTTTCAGCTGCTTTGCACTGCCTCTAGTTTGAAGAACTGCTAAACTTTTCATCGGTGTCAGAGTCAGATCTAAACATGCTCCAAAACAAAAAGAAGAAATCAATTTCTATTAGGGCTGTTACCTGTCCCAGTTTTCCCAGGATTGTCCCCTTTTTTAGGTAGCTGTCCTGGGAAATCCTGTAAGGCTTTCTGGGACCTTAAAAGCACAAGCACCAGAACTGGGAAGGCCAGGTGCCCCCACTTTTTAACAAAAGAAACATAAGCGCAGAAGTCATGTCCCCCGCAGATTCCCCCCACCCCCCACCCCCCCAGCAGATTAACAAATTCTGCTGGGGAGGTGCTGCAATTATATCTTTTGCCCAACAGGGGCTGCTGTGGCACCAGGAAAGAGGGCAGCTGGCTCACTACCAGAGCAGCCAATTGAGGAGAGAGAGGGGTCACTTTGGCCTTGCCCTTGCCCCCCAATTCTAGAAAGGCTCCAGCGTCCTTGCTTTAAAGTCCTGGCTTTTGTCCGTTCTGAGACCTCTGGCTCCCCCGGTCCCTCGTGGTTAGAGTGGATAGTCAGCTGTAGGCTTGGTGATTTCTGATTTCCACAACATTTTTTAATAAATACAATGCTATAAATACTGAGCACAAAGAATGCTCACAAGAATTAGCAGCGCTGATTTCTAAAATTCGCCACATATTCATGTTCTTCCCTTTCTAGGAGAGGCTGCCAAGGTTTTTATTTTATTTTTAATCTCTCTGTCAAGATTTAAATGCCAACAGATGAAAGAGGTTTATTTCCAGAACATCATCTGCTTTAAAAAGTCCTCTATAGTCATAAATATGATTTGACACTGATTAGTAGCAAATGCAAACATAAAGCCAGCATCTGACAATTTGATGTTTGCGTTTGGTAACAAACTGTCCACAGACCACACTTAGGCCAAGCTGGGGATTTGTAGGTTATTAGTCCACAAGTAAGCAGTATTTTGAGCTATTATCATTCATATTTGCTTTGCATTGAATGGAGTGTTTGGAGATCTCTAATGAAACCTGCAACGAGCCTAAAACTGCTAAAGGAATTAGAAGCCCCTGTACAGAGGATGCCACTTAATGGGCAACCTTCTGTCTTAAGAGATTGCCCTCAAAGTATCCACAAACATGATAAGCACAGTTTACTGTACCTTCATTGGAAAGCCTTTTCTGTTAAACCACTGATTTTTCCAAGTCCTTAGCTAGTTGTGATTCACTGTTATTTCAGCCCTGAGTGCATTTTTACAGAGAAATTATACATTTGAAAATAGAGATTTAAAATGGAGATGTTGAACCTAAAATGTGGGATGCCCAGGTTAAAACATTTTTAGACCTGATCTGGCTGTCCATGAAGTTAATGGGAATTTGGGCATTGCCTTCAATGGAACAGGATCAATCCCCCAAAAAGCACATTTCTTCACTCCTTTTAATAATAATACCTTAGATTCGGAAAATAGATTTTTAAAAATATTATTTGCTTTTGACCATTTATGCCGTTTATATTCTGCACTACAATTAGCCTGGGGAGACAATGAAAATAGATGGGTCAGTTTTATCTTCTGGTTCTCTTGCATTAGAACACTGACATCTGTGGCTTGCAAACATGGCAGGGGCTTAAGTCCTCTCCTTCCGATCTGGTGTTGCATTGGAATTTAAAAATCTAGAAGTGTGTTAATCAACACTGTGCTTGGGAGAAGGCAGCAAACCTTTGGGAGGAAGAGAGGTCTCTCCTGCTGGGTTATTTGGGCTGGGCATTGGGAAGGAGGTTTTAGGTATAAGTCTTGATCCTGAATGGATCTGGATGGACAGTCCCATTGATACCAGCGGGAATCCACACAGGCACAGGGCTCTGCCTATGTGGATTTGATTGCACGATCCGGGTCACAATTTGTAAATGGTCTTGTGTTCCTTCTGGAATAAGTGTAACTCATTGCTGATGCTAGTCCTATCATAAGCAGTGGGGCTGGAAATCAAGTGGAAATCTGTATATCGATCTCTCCTTTGTTTTAGATTCACCAAGATGAAGACAGCCACAAACATTTACATCTTCAATCTCGCCCTGGCCGATACCCTGTGTCTGATAACCTTACCCTTCCAGGGTACGGACACGTTCCTAGGGTTCTGGCCATTTGGAAACATCCTCTGCAAGATCGCCATCTCCATTGATTACTACAACATGTTCACCAGCACTTTCACCCTGACCATGATGAGCGTGGATCGTTACATCGCCATCTGTCACCCCATCAAAGCGCTGGATATCCGTACCCCCCACAAGGCCAAAGTGGTCAACATCTGCATCTGGGCCCTGGCTTCAGTCTTCGGTATCCCAGCTATGGTGATGGGGTCAGCAGAGAATGAAAATAATGGTCAGTAAAAGTGAACTAACGGGATATTCTCCAAACTAGACTCTGCAACCATGTGATAGGTGCACAGGGTTCCACAATCACTAGCTCATTACGTCTGGTACTGTAACAGCCCTTCCCTCCTGGGCAAGAAGCATGTTTTGAACCACAATCTTCATCACCACAATATAAAATATTACTTGAGATAAAGTACTAGTTCCATTAGCTAGTAGCTGTAGTAGGCTTTTATCCTCCGGTGATGAGAGCAATGCTGCATGTGATTGGGGAAAATAATCCTTTCCTACCCCAGTGGCACTCAGTTTACAATCTGAAGCATGAGACTTGATTTCCCTAATGTTAGTCAGTACATATGAATCTGTTATCCACCCTCCTGCATGCAAGAGTCCCTCTTACAATCTTACAGAGGGTCCTTTAAAAAAAGAGTGTTAATTGTGATCCTTTAGTATGGACGGATACATCATGGTGGAAGTAATTCTCTGGCAGCTCAGCTGGTGGATCCTGACCAATCAAAAAATGTAATGACAATCTCAAAGCAATCGCTGCTGGGTGAGAGTCAGAAATGTAACACCTTTACCGCTGTCTTCCTAGCCCATTTCCTTAGAATCTTTCCGTTTCTGGAAATTCTGAAAATCCCCTTGGTTTCCCACAACTTAACCCCTCTTTCCCTGAAAGGCTTTCTATCACAGCCACTATGTTTCTAACTGAAGGGGGCTGGATGCAGGATCCCTTCAGAGCCCACCGACATTGATAGTCAGTATTCACAGAAGCTATTGTAACGCCGGCAGACCCCGGTCATTGGTGGGCGGGATCGAACCTGGGACCTCTCTCTGTGCCACTAGATGGGGTAGAACACCACAGCCAGGAGGTGTCTGGGTTACACTATCACTCTTTAAAATCTCTGCAGCCAGCAGTTGCCATGTCCACACTGTTGAAACCATAACAATTACTGAGCCAGGGAAGCTAATCCTTATCTTGGCACCCAGACTATTTTTTCTAAACAAATAAATAATTAATTAAAAAATAAAATAAAATCATTGGTCCGGCCTTTGCCGATTCTCGTTTCAAGTAGGCTGAGAATGACGAAAAGACCATTATCTTCAGCCCGTTCTTTCCACTTGCCCACAAGCCTCAAGGGACCAATGAGCTTTCCTGACTGCTTGCCCAGCTTGAAATGAGGTGGGTAAATCTTGGGCTTCTGGGGTTGTAATTTTCACTTTAATACCATCCTTAGCATGCAACTCAAATGATCAGCACAATTTTTGGAATTGAGGAGGAGGAAGAGACTGTATCTGTGGTGCCATAAAACGCAATGAATCATATTTCATGAACTTCTGGTCAATTAAACCTGACACATTTCATGATCTTGAATGGACCCTTTCGAATATGTGTTCAGTACTTATGCTAAACTATCGGGTCAATCTTTTATTTAGCTGTGACGCTCTCACTACCTGTCCCAGACCTGAAGAAGAGCTCTGTGTAGCTCAAAAGCTTGTCCCTCACACCAGCACACGTTGATCCAATAAAACATATTATCTCTCCCAAGTTGTGTCTCTGCATTTCATCAACGTACTTTCTAAAATTCTTCCTAAGCACTTGTCCTAATTTGTGGCTACATGGGAAGCTGAATGCTAAGGCAAGATGCCTAGAGCTGTTAGCTGTCCTTATGCTTTCACAAATTTGGTGAAAGGGTCTCTTCCTTAACATGACATCTCTTTTTTTTTTAAAGCTCCTTTGAGACAGCAGCAGTTGCATCACCTACATGTGCATTTATTCTCAGTGTGACAAGGAAAGTTTTAGCCCAAAGGGTATCATCCTTTAGACATGGCTTTGTTAATGAATTACACTTGGAGTGCCTTTACATTAGAATCATAGAATCACAGAGTATCCGGGTCCGAAGGGACCTCAGGAGGTCATCTAGTCCAAATATCCAACCTAAACCTCCCCCACTGTAACTTGAGACCATTACTCCTTGTTCTGTCATCTGCTACCACTGAGAACAGTCTAGATCCATCCTCTTTGGAACCCCCTTTCAGGTAGTTGAAAGCAGCTATCAAATCCCCCCTCATTCTTCTCTTCTGCAGACTAAATAATCCCAGTTCTCTCAGCCTCTTCTCATAAGACATGTGCTCCAGTCCCCTAATCATTTTTGTTGCCCTCCGCTGGACTCTTTCCAATTTTTCCACATCCTTCTTGTAGTGTGGGGCCCAAAACTTGACACAATACTCCAGATGAGGCCTCACCAATGTTAAAAGAGGGGAACGATCATGTCCCTCAATCTGCTGGCAATGCCCCTACTTATACATCCCAAAATGCCATTAGGCGCCTTGGCAACAAGGGCACACTGTTGACTCATATCCAGCTTCTCATCCACCATAACCCCTAGGTCCTTTTCTGCAGAACTGCTGCCTAGCCATTTGGTCCCTAGTCCATAGCAGTGCATGGGATTCTTCCAGCCTAAGTGCACTTGTCCTTGTTGAACCTCATCAGATTTCTTTTGGCCCAATCCTCTAATTTATCTAGGTCCCTCTGTATCCTGTCCCTACCCTCCAGCGTATCTACCACTCCTCCCAGTTTAGTGTCATCTGCAAACTTGCTGAGGGTACAGTCCACGCCATCCTCCAGATCATTAATGAAGATATTGAACAAAAACATTCTCTGGGAATACTGATATTTCTAGTTTAAAGACAGTTACAGTGAGACAAAAGGGTGCTGGAAGAGAGAAGGAGTGAAAACTTCCTGTTTGACCTTTGGCAAGTTGCTTATCGATCTCTCTGTGCCTAGTTGCCCATAGAAAGCACCATGCTTTAAAGGGTAGGTCCCTCAACTGGGATTCCAGAGACCTGGGTTTTATTCCCAGCTCTGAAACTGAGCTGCTATGTCTCCTTGGGCAAATCACTTCACCGTGCCTCTGTTTTCCCTCCCACACTTTGTCTGCTTAAATTGTAAACTCTTAGGGGCAGGGCTGACTCCTGCTCTGTGTTTGTACAGAGCCTAGTGCAACGAGGCCCTGAGCTGTATTGAGCATTAATAAAATAAATGAAATTAGCAACAAAAGTGACTGCAAGTGAATTATCGGATTTACAGATGGTACCATGTTGTTCTCAATACAAGTTGTTGTCTTTTTCTTTTCTTTGCAGAGATTGATTGTCTAATTAAGCTCCCTAAACCTGTGGATTACTGGGATCCAATATTTGGGATTTGTGTCTTTCTCTTCTCCTTCATGATCCCTGTGTTGATCATCACCATTTGCTACAGCCTTATGATCCGGCGTCTTAAGAATGTCCGCGTCCTCTCAGGCTCCAAGGAGAAGGATCGGAATCTGCGGCGCATCACTCGAATGGTCCTGGTGGTGGTTGCTGTCTTCATTATTTGTTGGACCCCCATTCAGATTTTCGTGCTGGTCCAGTGCCTGGGTGCAAAGGCTGAAAGCGAGCTCGAGTTAGCCATCTCATGCTTCTGTACTGCACTGGGATATGCCAACAGCAGCTTGAACCCTGTTCTCTATGCTTTCTTGGATGAGAACTTCAAGACATGCTTCAGAAAGTTCTGCTTCCCCACCGCCTTCAGAACAGAGCTCCAGATGTCCAACAGGATGTGCAGCATCGCAAAAGATGTGGTTTATGCCTGCAAGAACTCAGAGGGGACTAACAATCCAGCATGACTAGGCATGGAAATTCCCATGGTGGCTGTCAGCCAGCAGAGCCCAACGACCCCCACTTCAGAGCTAACTCAGATAACAGCTCTTTAGCAGGAGCTTTCGGACCCAGAATTGGAGACTGGAAACCTAGGGGGCAAATAAAGGAACTGCAAGAGCATGCAGAAAAGTGAGCCATTTTGACACCTTTCTTATTACACCACTCTCCCCGTTAAGTACTATATTTTAACTCAGCCCCCCCCTTAAGTCCTAGGAGCCACTAACGTCATGCACATTGCCTACAGTTATAAAGAATTCAGGAATTAAAGAGTCAAACTCAGACTTTGCTCCTGAGGCTTATTTTGCCATTGCTGCTGGAAAGCAGACAAAATGCTAATAACTTTTCTTGGTTGAGTTATTTCAGTGGCTCATCAAATAATATGGATTACCGAGTGCTTGTGTGTGAATTTTAGGCCAGTAGCATCTCTCTGAAATGAGGCTTCATTGATGCCAAAGCAAGGAACAGCGGCGAAACAAAACAAAGATCATTTCCAGAATTACTTATGACTGGGATGGGTGGGGGGAATTCAGACACTCCAGCCAGGAAAGAAAGAAGACTGGACAGCGTCACTGCATGGCTGGATAACTCAACTCAAAGCCACTTAAAGAGAAGTGGACAACTTCCAGTGAAGGAACATACTAAAATCAAACCGTGTGCCGCAGAGATGGGCGGCAGGGCGGGAGGGGTGTGAAGGGATTGTAAAAAATGACAAACAATAGCTTGGAAGGGGTAGAAGGCAAGACAAATGAAACCAATGTCAATTCAGAGGAAAGAGCTGAAATTGCTTTTTCTATATTTTCATTATAACAATGGATTGTACTTTGTGTGTGTGTGTGTGTGTGTGTGTGTGTATGTGTGTTTGTGTATGTATATATACACACATATCTATATAGATATATAATTAATATTTCAACTTGCCAGACATTTCTCAGAGGCATTTCCCAATGGAGTCAAGATGAGGTTAAATCAATGGAGTGGCTTAATATGGAAAGACATTTCAAGTTAGTTATGATGGCTGTCCTGAAGAAAGTACTGATATTTTAACAGCAAGGCATCCGAAAACACTCCAAATTCCTCTGGCATCCTCCCTTCTGGTTCCTGTAATATGGACAAACAGTTCTACAATCAGATAAGCGTTGCCGACAGAATTCTGGAGGAGGGAGCCTTTTCCTCCTCAAGTGCTCTGGGCTAGTGGGCACCCCCACACAGCTGTGCGTCGCTTTTATGACACAGCAGACTTGTCACCTCAAGTGAAACCATCTGCCCTGTTGTGTCATTAAAACATGAACGTGTTTATGAAGAATAAACCACTCAACCCTCCCTCCATGAGATGCCTCTGAAAATCGAACCTTTTCTTTCTGTAGCACAAGAGACCAGGAGACTGGGAGCGGCAGAGAGTGGGAAAAAAATGTTTCCTGACTGGCTGAAAGCAACAGGACTTTTAAAACCAGTTTGAGCTGGGGGCGGGAGGCTCCAACTGAAGGAGGCAGCAATTCTTGCACTTCATAGCGATTGTACAGATTTTCTTGTGCTCTGTTCTGCGAAATGATGTATTTTTAATGTGTTGATATGCTGACATTTTAATGCTGCACTGTTCTTTATATATATGCTGGATGAGAACACAATGTTATATTTCTGTGTAAAGTTTTTCTTTTTCGGCAAGGCTTGGAGAACCATTACAAATCCTAAATCACACACCTAGGAACCAGACCACTTGTAAACTATGCTAAATTGAACATGGTCTGGGAACCAGAAGGAGTCTCAAGCATTTGTCATGGGATTTAAAGGGATATAGTAGAAAACTTTTTAATTAATATTTTCTATTAAGAATTGAGGGGGGGGAAAGACAGGCCCAGTAAGTACTTTGCAATGGATAGTTACCCCCCAAACAATTGCAACAGCAATGAGGACTGATATGATTACCCATAGTAAAAGATCAAGCATGCAGAGAAGTAATCATTTGACACATGCACACTTATATATATTAAAAGTTGGGTGGCATTTTTTAAACATAAATGATTTTGTTATCTTAACCTATGCTCAACAATCCTACAGAAACAATGTACTCGGTAAGCGTCTGCCTACTCAGCTTTTGGATAATTCGTGGCCTTTGCCGTGAGTGTGTTATACATTCTGATTTATGCTCAATGGAATTTGTTATAAGAAGAGCAACTACAACAAAAATAGAAGCTTTATTGTACTGTGCCTCTGGAAGTAAAGAATCATGGCTGGCTGAAATGCAAGCCCTTTAATTATCTTCTGAAATTGTTGTGGTGGTATATTTGAGCTTATGACTATTGCAGTGTAAACGGCAATTTCCTACATGGTTACTTGTGCTTTAATAAAGGAAAATAAACTCCTGCACTTTTGAATGATGTGGAATGTGATGGCTTAATTCTGTGAACTGCCTGGTTGTTGCCACAGTGGAACTACCAGAATATTTAAAGGGTAGTAGCCATTTATGGGTCAATCCCAATCAGTAAGATTGATGGGGTTGATCCCAACACCCACTGAAGTCAACGGGAGTTTTTTTTATGTTACTTCACTTGAAGCAAGGCAACTTCGAAACAGCTAAAATAGAAATGATAGAAAATAGGCAGCTAGATGCTAACAGCCCAAGTTCAACTGTATCTGTTCATTAAATTAATCAGTAAGGGACTGATCCAAAACCTGTTGGAGCCAATGGAAAGGATCTCATGGACTGGGATCTGGCCCATAGTGTACAACTGGGGAAAGAGTCCACAACTGCTGATTGGTCATTAGAGACAAAACCAGATGGCCATTCCATAAGCAAGATAATCCGAGCTACTAAAATTTAGTCATACCCAATCACTTCTGGCTCTTGTGCTGTTAAAAGTAGCCATACTGTAATTGGTCTAGCTATAGGAAAGAATGTTAATACTTTGGAACTGGGAAAGATGGATCATTTGGTAAGACATGCAATAAAGAAACGTGTCTGCTATCAGCACTCTGTTCAATATTCTTCTCAAGCCAAGGAAATGTCAGTATTGGTTTTTTTTTTTTTTTTTTCTAAAAGAAGAACGAAAGTCAGTGTGTAAAAAAATAAAATTAAAAAAACCCCGACACTTGTATTTCCCCCTAAAATGTATTTCATTTTAAGCACCCGGATATCTGATCTCCTGGCATTTCCATAAAACCAACTGCCTTATTTGGTACTATGGAATTTGGTGATGATTCCAAGAGCTCTCCCTGCCTGAGATGGCACAAATTAGGTCACTTGCTAGCAATCCAAGTGGGAAGGACAAAGAATAGTTAGACTTAGACTGAACTTTCATTCCTCATGGTCCTCCCTTTAGGCCAGGGTCAAGGCATGGTTAGATGATATGCTGGTGGGGAACTTCCACTTCTTAGGTGGTCTCTGCTCTGTGGATAATGGAATGTTTTCCCCCACAAAGTTGCAGTCTGTCATCTCTCACTAGCACTAGACTCACAACTTAAAAACTAGAAATGGTAGAAATTTTTAACAGTGAGGGTACTTAATCACTGGAACAACTTGCCTGGGGAAGTGATAGGTTCTCCATCACTTGAAGTCTTTAAAGCAGGACGGGTTATCTTTTTAAAAGATATGCTCTAAATCCACCAGAAATTATGGGCTTGATGAAGAAATTCCTGGGTGAGCTTCTCTGGCCTGTGTTATTCAGGAGGTCAGACTAGATAGTCCCAAAGGTCCCTTTTAGTCTTAAAAATCTATGAATCCATGAAAAAGGTAATAACTTCTCCCACATACTGAGTTCTCAGTATTCCAGTGAACCCAAACCCCAAGGCACAGGAATAGTACCTGGAAGAAAACCTGATTGTGAAAACGTACAGCTGCAGCTTATCTGTGGAAGAATGCTTATTATTTATATTTCTTCTAAAGATGCGCCCTTAGTGAAAACATCCTCTGATGCAGACAAAGCACAGTCTATAAAGATCTTCATGTTAATGCAGAAATACTCATTAATGCTCAGATTTCTTGTTGAAGATTTGTTAAATCCCCAAAGAACTGCACCTCCGCCTCTGCACTCCAGTCTCTGATACATTATTGCTAGACGTGATAATATGTGCATAGAGACTCTGGGATTCTTCTCACCGACTGCTGCTTTATGGCTGCACATTTAAAGTGAATGCAGTTGATCGCTATTGTTTGTATATGCTAATGAAACAGACTTCTCCAGAAGAAGATTAGAGCTACAATCCCTTTTATTTCACATTAAACAGAAAGGGATTTTAAAAAATGGAACAAAAGAGAGATCAGCTATAGCAAAAGCCATTAACTTTCCCACTAATTTTCTGTATTTCCCCATAGATTTCTGAAGAACTTTCTCTCATTTATGACTCTCTATTCTATGCAGAACATAGGACCTTCCCTCTTTGCTGCAATCTTAGCTATCTACCCATATCTTTTTGATAGCTTTCAGTTCTGTTTCTGTTATGCGTTTCCATGTTATCCTTGGTCTACCTTGTCGCTTTTTGCCCTAGGAGTTCCAGTCCAATGTCTGTCTTGTTATGCTAATCAGGTCTTTCCTCCATGTATGCCCTAACCATCTCAATTTTTGTTCTGTAATTTCCTGCCCTATTGGTTTCTGTTTTGCTCTTCTGCAGAGTTCTTTGTGATTTTTTTTCTGGCCATCTGATATTGAGGAATTGTCTAAGGCAGCTGCTTATGAAAACTTGGAGTTTAGATAGTAAGATCTTAATAAGTCTTCAAGTTTCAGTAAAACTGACTTTACAATGGGTGTTAAATATTTGAAGTTTAGTTTGGAGGACAAGATTTCTGTTTCTCCATATCGGCTTTAGAGTTACATAGTATGCATCCGATGAAGTGAGCTGTAGCTCACGAAAGCTTATGCTCAAATAAATTGGTTAGTCTCTAAGGTGCTACAAGTACTCCTTTTCTTTTTGCGAATACAGACTAACACGGCTGTTACTCTGAAATAGGCATGTCTGGCTGTCACTATTCTGGCTTTAAGGTCTTTAATTTGTTTCAGGTGTTGTGCTGAAAATGCTGCCAAGATAGGTGAAATATCAGACCTCTTCTATGTCAGTCCCAAAAAGCATTACTGACATTTCTTGTCGTGTGTTGATTCTCAAGATACCGGGACTAAACGAGAGGAGATGGATCACTTGATGATACCCTGTTCTGTTCACTCCCTTTGAAGCATCTGGCATTGGCCACTGTCAGAAGACAGGATACTGGGGTAGATGGACCATTGTTCTGACCCAGTATGGCCATTCTTAGGTTCTTATTTACGAGTGTAATTCTAAACTCCTGTTGTGTTGTAATCTGTTTTGGCTTCGTGGTATTATAATGCGGGCATCTCTGTTGTTCAGATCTCTTCTTTGTTCTTATTTTTATTCCCAGTTGAGCTATCACTCGTATACATGGTCTGTTCCCACATCTGCCCTGTTCCTGCTGTATACATCTTCTAAATTTACATCTTCGTATATTTCTGAAGATATATGTTTAAAAATAGAGCCTTGTTCTTCAAAAAGAAGAGTTTACTTTTGCTGCATCTTGAATTGAAACTCTATGTATTCCTGACTTCATGCTGTGTTGCTATGCATATGCTGATGTTTGCACAGATTCATCATTATGACTTTGCAGAATTCAGCACAACTTTCACATTCTGCACACTGCATTAATTCCGCATTGCTTACATGCAATTTAAGATTATAGTTCTCATCCTCAAAACCCTGATTGGAGGCTACATGAGGCATTACCTTTCTCTGTGTGCCACTCCATGAATACTGTGCTCAGCAAGGACAATGTAGCTGGCTGTAGAATTGAAGAGATAGGAACTGGAGGTGTGTTCTGGATGGTGAAAGCAGCAGAGGGGAAGGTTCTCATACCAACAGCTGGAAGAATGTTTGAGAGGGGAATGACAGTTCAGCAGTTAGGGCATTAACCTAGCAGTTAGGAGAGCTGGGTTTATTTCCTTGCCCTGCCACAAACTTCTTGTGAGACTTTGTGCAAGTCACTTAGCTTCTCTGTTCCTCTGTGCCCTATCTCTAAAATGGGGATAATAGCACTTCCCTACCTCATGGGGCTGTTGTGAGGATAAATACATTGAAGATTTGGAAGTGCCTTGAAGCCTACTGATGAAAAGTGCTATGTAAGAGCTGGGTATTATAAGTGCTAGAAAAAGGGGCGACAGGTGGAGGTCCATGAGATAGGCTGACGTAAGTCTCTGGAGAGCTTCATCAAGAAAGCAAGCTCCTGAAATGACTGATAAGCCAGTGGTGTGGTGCGGAGGTTGGAGTCATCCGATCTTGCTTCTTTGCACATGAGAACTGGGGCAGTGGCAATCTGTCACAGTGAAGTCTGGAAGCTTGGGAAACCTTGGAGAAGTGAACTGGAATGGGCTAGGTGACAGGAGATGAAGTCATTGATGTGGACTTCAGTGGGGGATTAGAGGACGTGTCCTAACCAGTCAATAATAGGAGGATGCACAAGTATGGGAGCAGAGTCAGTGTCAAGATAAGGGGAGGCGGTGAACTGTCAGAGAGGAAACCCTTATCCCAAACCACGTGTTTATGACAACTAGCAAAACAAAGGAAGAAATTCCTGTAAACATGCACCATAGATCTACACTGTTAAAATGTATTCTAAGGGTTCCCTTCATGTAAAGGTCGCTATTCGGACTGATGTTTGAAGGGCCAGGCAGTCAGACTTGCATGTGCATATTTGTGTATATAACAATGTGTGTACCTAACTGGCACTCGACGTTCCTGTGATGGCGTGAGAGATGGTGGGCCGAGTGCAGGCAAATGAGCAGTTAGATGTCTAGCTAGGTCCTTGTACACACAAGGGTAGTAATTGCAAATACAAATGGGATGTGCCAAAAGGCTTTCAGCAGTGTGCACAATTCTGAGGCTAAAGAAATCAATGATGCCTAATATTGGCTATACAGTTGCCATGTCATTTTTTCTAATACCCTGATTCCTGGGTAGGTTGCATAATATACCTGAAATAGTTAATACAGAAATAGCATCAAGAGGTGTTACAAATCTTGGCAACGACGTTAATTAATTAATCATATAAATCCACTGTGATGCATCTTTAACCTAAAAAGTGTAGATCCCGGGTACGGGCGTGTTCAAACCTGGCAGTGAGTCTTTACCTGCAGGGGAATGCAGATGGCCTTTTCACGGTCTCTTCTGCAGAGCAATTATTCTCCCTCTGATGGCAAAACATTGAGCTTCCTGCTTCAGCACCATGGAAACTCTAAACACACCCTGGAGTAGCAAGTGCACCATAATATCAGAAACAAACCGAGATCATATTCACCTCGCTCATGTTCTGCTTCTTGCTTATTGGTTCTTCATATTCACAGTGTCAGGAGAGTTACCTTGCTGTAGCTCTTGTGGCCCT